CCTTGCACGGTATTTTTTATAGAAATGGAATCATTTTGGGTTTTTTGGCTTCATTGTTTTTTGTTTTGTTTTTGTTTTTGTTTTGAGATGGAATTTCGCTCTGTCATCCAGGCTGGAGTGCTGTGGCACAATCTAGGCTCACTGCAACTTCTGCATCCTGGCTTCAAGCGATTCTCCTTGCCTCAGCCTCCCCAGTAACTGGGACTACAGATGCCCGCCACCAGGCCCAGCTAATTTTTGTATTTTTAGTAGAGACAGGGTTTCACCATGTTGACCAGGTTGGTCTCAAACTCCTGACCTCAAGTGATCTGCCCACTTTGGCCTTCTGAAGTGCTGGGATTTCAGGCATGAGCCACCATGCCTGGCCACAGTGTGCTTTTTTCATGTAACAATTTGTCTTGAAGACCTTTTCTAAATTGCAGAGGGTTTTACAGGATGGCTTTCAATAGTTCTTCTTCTTATTGATGGACACTGAGGTTGTTTCCAAACTAAATGATGATTTCATTTTAGCATACCTTCTGTCACATCAAATTATCATCTGAAAAATACGGATTTACATAAAAATAAGAAGTAAGAACATCAATTCTGGTTTTGTTGGTGTTCAATTTTTTTGTTTCTATAGCTGTAGATAATAAAAATAATATTCCTATATTTGTTTCCATATATTTAAATAGCATTATAATTAAAAATCACTTTACATATAAGCCTTGTGACCTGGGACAGGTGTATTAGTTATATATTGCTGAGTAACGAATGATCCCAAAACTTCATGGTTTTAAACAACAAACACTGAAGCCAGGTTCAGTGGCTCACACCTGTAGTCCCAGCAACCTGGGAGGCTGAGGCAGGAGAATTGCTTCAGCCTGGGAGTTCCAGGCTGTGATGCACTATGATTGTGTCTGAGAATGGCCACTGCACTCCAGCCTGGGCAACATAGCAAGACCCTGTCTCTAAAAATAAAGATAAAAATAAAAACAGTACATATTCATTATCTCACAGTTTCTGTGTGTCAGTTCAGCTGAGTCCTCTAGTTCAAGGTGTGACAGGCACAATCACTTATGAGCCAGGGTTGCAATCATCACAAGGCTTGGCTGAGACACTCCACTTCCAAACTCACTCACTGTTGGCAAGCCCGGGGTTCTCACTGGCTGTTGGCCACAGACATCAGTTCCTTGCCATGTGGACCTTTTTGCAGAGCTACTCCCAACATGGTGCTGGCTTCATCCACAGAGAGGGCTCAGAGAATGTTATAGACTGAATACTTGTGTCCCCTCAAAATTCACGTATTGAAACTGTAATCCCTAATGTGATGGTATTAGCAGGCAGGGTCTTTGGGAGGTAATCAGGATTAGAGGAGGTTCTAAGCGGGGAGCCCTCATGAAGAGGATTGGTATCCTTAGAAGAATCCTGAGGGAGCTTCCTTCCTATCTCTGCTATGTGAGGACACAGTGAGAAGGCTGCCGTCTATGAACTAGGAAGCAAGCCATCGCTAGACATCTGTGGCACCTTGACCTTGGTCTCCCCATCCTCCACCACTGTGAGAAATAAATGTTTGTTATTTAAGCCACCTAGTTTATGATATTTTATTATAATAGCTCAAGTTAAGACAGCGAGCGAAAGGAACGCAGGGACAGTAAAACAGAATTCATAGTCTTTTTTAACCTAATCTCGGAAGTGACATTCTATCACTTTGACCATATTCTGTTCACTTAAAGCAGGATCAGCCCTCATTCACAGGAAAGGTGTTACATATCAGGCAACACCAGGAGGAGGGATCCTGGGAGCCTTCTTAATGACGACTTCCTACAACTCTCTTGGCCTCTCTGTACCTGTTGTGTCATCTACAAAGATCTACCCTATAAAAGACATTGTGAGAATTAAAAGAATTAAAATATGTAAAGTACTTAGAACACTCCCTGGAACAGGGTGAGCACTAATTAGCTAAGTGTGGATACAAAAATAATGCAAATACATAGAACTACTCTTAGTACACAGTACTAAGTCCGTGATGGTTGTTCAAAAAATGCTTGAATCAGGAGTACTTGAGTATAGGAGTTTGAGGCCAGCCTTGGCAACATAGTGAGACCCCTTCTCTACAAAAATTAAAAAACTAGCAGGGCACGATGGCACGTGCCTGTCATCCCAGCTACTCAGGAGGATCCTTTGAGCCTGGGAGGTCGAGGCTGCAGTCAGCCATGATCCAGCCACTGCATTAAGCCTAGACGACAGAGTGAGACTCTGTCTCAAAAAAAAAAAAAAAAAGACTTGAATCAAGAGATCTACAATTATTCAAAAGAAGTTTGAGTATTTGGAAATTACCCCAGAAACAGATGAAGTTGAAAGTTCCTACTTTAATTACCAGGGGGCCTTACAACACCTCCAGATTCCCCACAAGCCTCCCCTGATGAGGAATTTCCATGCAGCAAGCTCCAATGCATACCTGAGTCATCTCCAAAAAGCCAACCACAATTTGCTCTGTAAATGCACACCATTTGCCTGATGGCAGAAGTTGCCTGATTTGCAAAACCACACAATTTGTAAGTTACAGAAAAAAAGGGCAAGAGCTTGTCTGCCTAGCTGGAGCACTTCTCATTGAGCTCAGCAGTTTAGTGAGATTAGGAACTCACCTGTGAGGTGTTTTTTTTTAAGACTCACCCTGCTATTTTAAGGAAAGAAAAGGCTACTCAGTACACCCCCGGTCTTTCAAGCTTAGCACAGAGCAGATGGGTTAAGGAGAGGTGTCCTGCTTGACATATGCAATCTGGGACTCAGTAGGTGGGCGAATGAGGCCAACCTCTCATACAGCAGATGTGGTAAATGAGTCATTAATCAGGAGATAACAAAAGGCTGGACCCTGCTCCCCCAGACCACAAAGTCACTCACTAAACAGGCCCAGAAGCAGCAGCGACGCTCCCAAGGGTAAATAAACCTCGCAACAACTCAATTCAGCACACATTTTGAGTACACGCTAAACGCGACCTCTGAGCTCACTGCCCTCTGGAAGAGGAGGCTCTAGCTCACAGTGCCTGCTGTGCAAAGGTCACCTTTCTTTGTTTCAAAAGTCGCCAAGAAAGGAGGAAGAAGAAAGGCGACTGGGAAGACCAGCCTGGTCACTTATGTGGCTCACATAGCAGACCTATCCACTCTCCCCCTGCCTACCTTCAGCAACTGCCCAGAGTTTTTGGTTTCAGTTCTGTTTTTTAATTACCCTGGTTGACTTAATCAGGTGTGCAATGATGTGAAGAAGGAAGAAAAGAAGAAATTTCTCTATACCAGGGGAGGCATCTGCCAGGGTAAGAGTGGCTGGGTTCGTTGTATTTTTAGAAAAATAAACCAAATTCTCTCTGCAGAGAATTGCTTTTTCTGTTCTTTGTTTCAACACCTCCCAAACCAAACTGCTTTCTGAATGACCAGGTCCTATCTAGCTGGAATACTTAAAGCTCATGTCAACTGGGCAAGCGTGAGGACTCCAGTCTCCTAATGAGAGCTAGTAAGAAGCCGTGGGAATGGGGATCATCACACCAAGAGGCTGGAAGTGGAAGGAAAGAAAATGCATTCCAGTAATAAATTCCAAATGCTTTGATTTTAAACTAAGAATGAAAAATATTACATTTTCTCCAATAACAGTAAGACTGTAGGTGATTTTTGTGTCATCACTTATGTTTTGTGTCATAAAAAGGTGAAAATGAAATAAATAGAATATGATTTAATTTTTCTCTCTAGACCAGCTAAGGAAAGAGTTTATGTAAAGTTTGCCCACAAAATTCAGTGCTTTATTATAGGCTGAACAACTGTCTTCTGACTCTGTTGAGTGTGCTAATCTTAACTCTTTAACCAGACTATAAGTAGGAGTCAGGCATAATTTAGAGGCATACAGACTAGTAGTTAAGAAGAAGGGCTCCGAGCATGTTCCCACATTCTCAGCTATGTGATCTTGAGCAAAGTAACTTATGTCTCGGTTTCTTCAACTGTAAAATGGAGATAAAAGTAGTATTCATCATATAGAGTTATGATAAATACTTAAAACTGTTCGTGCCCAACATATGGTGGGCACTCAATAAACATTAATTATTATATTATTATGTTCCCCACCTATCCAAAAACTCAGGTTCAGCCATGTTACTAAAGAGCTTTCAAAAACCTACAAAACCTAGTGTTGTTACTTGTGTGTTCTTAAAAAAAACAAACAAAACCCTACAGTGGTTTACCCCATCATTGAGGTAAATGTCTTATTAAGCCAGTTGAGGCTCCGCTTGTGCTAACCCCACACCCCTACGCTCCCGTTATATCCCCTCCAAGTCCCAATGCAATCCCAGAATTCATTCTTTCACTCTGTGCTTTTTAGCTCCTGCTATAATGCCTTCCCACCCCTGTGGTATCTGAAATCCTTCCTCTCCCATGAGTGTTTGATTATTGGGCCTTGCTCTCTTACTAGAATGTAAACTGTATGAGAACCATTCTCAGAGCTCCAATAGTAGCTGATACGTGATAAATGCTCAGGAAACATTTACTGAACGATTGAATATCTACAACTATTAAGTTTTTTCAAGATTTATACCAAATTCCATCAATTCCATGCATGCAGTCATTCTATAGAAGCCCTTTGTAAGATTAAACTTTATTTCTTCTGGGCTCTAATGCCGTATTTCTTGGACAAATTGTATTCATTCATATTAAACATCCACTAATATTTTTAAAAAGATAACAGCTAATGTTTAAACAGTGCTTATGATGAGCGAGGTTGTTTTAAAAGCTTGAAACATATTAAACTCATTTACTCCTCACTGCCCCACCTATAAGATAGGTATTGTTTTTATTCCACTTTTACAGTTGGAGGGAACCATTTTTCACTCAGTCCTAATAGTTGGTCCTTACCTCTGTGTCTCCTACAAACATCCGATTTCCACCTAGGGTAACCCTTTCCCCAATTCTGGAATCTTTGGCTCAAGCAAAGTTTGCAGAAAAACAATTTAACTCGGAGCACACAGTTACATTTGGACATGCGGTTCACTCCTGGCTACGGTGCCCTCTCTAGCGCTTCTGCTGGGCGCGCAGGGTGGCCTACAGCTCGCAACAAAGACTCGGACTTCGGCCGGCTCTCTACCAAGCGGACGCAGCGCCCTACACTGGAGGCTCACCTACTGTCTTCAGAGACCTCACGACCCAACCCACGTTTCTGGCATTCCTAGATGATCTCCAACTCTTAGCCAACGCTGTCCATGAGCTCCCTCCTCGGCCTGCTATACAAGCCAGGGGCGCTTAATTCAACGAAGCTTCCTCCTGGTCCGCTGGGAAAGGAATAAAGGGGGCTTACCTCCTCCCCACCGCCCCCCCTCTTTACTCAACCCCACCGTTAACTGTACAAAACTAGGTCCTGTGCCCGCTGCAGACCCAACTCGGCCCCTCGCCCTGCTCCCACCCAATGCTTCCCTTCCTGACTCCGACCACAGAACTCGGTTGGCCGCGTCGCCCTCCTCGCCCGCACGCTGGTGACTCAACCCTGAGAAGACAAACCTCTCGGTTTTTTCCGACCAGTGCAGGGGCGCCGGCGCCCCGCCCCTGCCCGCCAGCGTACAGTCCCACCCACAGTCCACGCCCCACTTCGGCCGGCTCTCTACCAAGCGGACGCAGCG